CAGCCCTTGCTATGGGACTTACTGCCCCAAAACTAAACTGGGGGCATCATGTACCTATGTCTGGGACTCACTCCAAAAGTTTCAAGTCTGAAGCCTTGCCGATTTGTCAGCTTGTTGGCCTTTTCATCCGCCATCCAACAAGTTATAGTTTGACAAAATCCATCTATGTTAAGGTACATTTAGACCGCGACACATGAGAGCCATGTAGGCTGGCGCTGACAGCTCTTGCTATGGGACTTACTGCACAAAAACGAAACTGGGGGCATTATGTACCTATGTCTGGGGCTCACTCCAAAAGTTTCAAGTCTGAAGCCTTGCCGATTTGTCAGCTTGTTGGCCTATTCATCCGCAATCCAACAAGTTATTGTTTGTCAAAATCCATCCATGTTAAGGTACCTTTAGACCGCGAAGCATGAGAGCCATATCGGCTGGCGCTGACAGCCCTTGCTATGGGACTTACTGCACAAAAACGAAACTGGGGGCATCATGTACCTATGTCTGGGGCTCACTCCAAAGTTTCAAGTCTGAAGCCTTGCCGATTTGTCAGCTTGTTGGCCCATTCATCCGCCATCCAACAAGTTATAGTTTGTCAAAATCCATCCATGTTAAGGTACCTTTAGACCGCGACACATGAGAGCCATGTCGGCTGGCGCTGACAGCCCTTGCTATGGGACTTACTGCACAAAAACGAAACTGGGGGCATCATGTACCTATGTCTGGGGCTCACTCCAAAAGTTTCAAGTGTGAAGCCTTGCCGAATTGTCAGCTTGTTGGCCTATTCATCCGCCATCCAACAAGTTATAGTTTGTCAAAATCCATCTATGTTAAGGCACCTTTAGACTGAGACACATGAGAGCCATGTCGACTGGCGCTGACAGCCCTTGCTATGGGACTTACTGCACAAAAACGAAACTGGGGGCATCATGTACCTATGTCTGGTGCTCACTACAAAAGTTTTAAGTCTGAAGCCTTGCCGATTTATCAGCTTGTTGGCCCATTCATCCGCAATCCAACAAGTTATAGTTTGTCAAAATCCATCCATGTTAAGGTACCTTTAGACCGCGACACATGAGAGCCATGTCGGCTGGAGCTGACAGCCCTTGCTATCGGACTTACTGCACAAAAACGAAACTGGGGGCATCATGTACCTATGTCTGGGGCTCACTCCAAAAGTTTCAAGTCTGAAGCCTTGCCGATTTGTCAGCTTGTTGGCCCATTCATCCGCCATCCAACAAGTTATAGTTTGTCAAAATCCATCCATGTTAAGGTACCTTTAGACCGCGACACATGAGAGCCATGTCGGCTGGCGCTGACAGCCCTTTCTATGGGACTTACTGCACAAAAACGAAACTTGGGGCATCATGTACCTATGTCTGGGACTCACTCCAAAAGTTTCAAGTCTGATGCCTTGCCGATGTGTCAGCTTGTTGGCCTATTCATCCGCCATCCAACAAGTTATAGTTTGTTAAAATCCATCTATGTTAAGGTACCTTTAGACCGCGACACACGAGAGCCATGTCGGCTGGCGCTGACAGCCCTTGCTATGGGACTTACTGCCCCAAAACTAAACTGGGGGCATCATGTACCTATGTCTGGGGCTCACTCCAAAAGTTTCAAGTCTGAAGCCTTGCAGATTTGTCAGCTTGTTGGCCTATTCATCCGCCATCCAACAAGTTATAGTTTGTCAAAATCCATCCATGTTAAGGTACCTTTAGACTTCGACACATGAGAGCCATGTCGGCTGGCGCTGACAGCCCTTGCTATGGGACTTACTGCACAAAAACGAAACTGGGGGCATCATGTACCTATGTCTGGGGCTCACTCAAAAAGTTTCAAGTCTGAAGCCTTGCCGATTTGTCAGCTTGTTGGCCTATTCATCCGCCATCCAACAAGTTATAGTTTGTCAAAATCCATCCATGTTAAGGTACCTTTAGACCGCGACACATGAGAGCCATGTCGGCTGGCGCTGACAGCCCTTGCTATGGGACTTACTGCACAAAAACGAAACTGGCGGCATCATGTACCTATGTCTGGGGCTCACTCCAAAAGTTTCAAGTCTGAAGCCTTGCCGAATTGTCAGCTTGTTGGCCTATTCATCCGCCATCCAACAAGTTATAGTTTGTCAAAATCCATCCATGTTAAGGCACCTTTAGACTGAGACACATGAGAGCCATGTCGACTGGCGCTGACAGCCCTTGCTATGGGACTTACTGCACAAAAACGAAACTGGGGGCATCATGTACCTATGTCTGGTGCTCACTACAAAAGTTTTAAGTCTAAAGCCTTGCCGATTTATCAGCTTGTTGGCCCATTCATCTGCAATCTAACAAGTTATAGTTTGTCAAAATCCATCCATGTTAAGGTACCTTTAGACCGCGACACATGAGAGCCATGTCGGCTGGAGCTGACAGCCCTTGCTATCGGACTTACTGCACAAAAAGGAAACAGGGGGCATCATGTACCTATGTCTGGGGCTCACTCCAAAAGTTTCAAGTCTGAAGCCTTGCCGATTTGTCAGCTTGTTGGCCTATTCGTCCGCCATCCAACAAGTAATAGTTTGTCAAAATCCATCTATGTTAAGGTACCTTTAGACCGCGAAACATGACAGCCATATCGGCTGGCGCTGACAGCCCTTGCTATGGGACTTACTGCACAAAAACGAAACTGGGGGCATCATGTACCTATGTATTGGGCTCACTCCAAAAGTTTCAAGTCTGAAGCCTTGCCGATTTGTCAGCTTGTTGGCCTATTCATTCGCCATCCAACAAGTTATAGTTTGTCAAAATCCATCCATGTTAAGGTACCTTTAGACCGCGACACATGAGAGCCATGTCGGCTGGCGATGACAGCCATTGCTATGGGACTTACTGCACAAAAACAAAACTGGGGGCATCATGTACCTATGTCTGGGGCTCACTCCAAAAGTTTCAAGTCTGAAGCCTTGCCGATTTGTCAGCTTGTTGGCCCATTCATCCGCCATCCAACCAGTTATGGTTTGTCAAAATCCATCCATGTTAAGGTACCTTTAGACCGCGACACATGAGAGCCATGTCGGCTGGCGCTGACAGCCCTTGCTATGGGACTTACTGCACAAAAACGAAATTGGGGGCATCATGTACCTATGTCTAGGACTCACTCCAAAAGTTTCAAATCTGAAGCCTTGCCGATTTGTCAGCTTGTTGGCCTATTCATCCGCCATCCAACAAGTTATAGTTTGTCAAAATCCATCCATGTTAAGGTACCTTTAGACCGCGAAACATGAGAGCCATGTCGGCTGGCGCTGACAGCCCTTGCTATGGGACTTACTGCACAAAAACGAAACTGGGGGCATCATGTACCTATGTCTGGGGCTCACTCCAAAAGTTTCAAGTCTGAAGCCTTGCCGAATTGTCAGCTTGTTGGCCTATTCATCCGCCATCCAACAAGTTATAGTTTGTCAATATCCATCCATGTTAAGGCACCTTTAGACTGCGACACATGAGAGCCATGTCGACTGGCGCTGACAGCCCTTGCTATGGGACTTACTGCACAAAAACGAAACTGGGGGCATCATGTACCTATTTCTGGGGCTCACTACAAAAGTTTCAAGTCTGAAGCCTTGCCGATTTGTCAGCTTGTTGGCCCATTCATCCGCAATCCAACAAGTTATAGTTTGTCAAAATCCATCCATGTTAAAGTACCTTTAGACCGCGACCACGGCCGTTTCAAACGCAGCGCTTACAGAAAAAGTGCGCCCTCTGTTGGTTGAAACGCTCCAACTGAGAAAACGGCAGTTATGGAGCCGACGGCTCTTTGCTGTTAGCGCGTCGGTACTTTTTTCGTCGGGATGCAAATTTTGACCTACGCGATTTCTGGCTGCCTGATTGGTTGAGAGAACCTAATTGCATATGCAACATTTAAATATACTCATGTTTAATGAATTTTTGGGGTCAATCTAGTTTACTTAAACGAAGCGTGGTCACATGGGTACAAATTCCTCAATGTGGCGGTTTCCAGAAACGAATAACTCCGGACAGAAATCTACGGAAGCTTGAATTGCCTTCCGAGATACCGCGTTACCGCGATAATTTATCACAGAAATCCGGAAATCAAAGATAAATCCTTCCGCGATACCGCGTTACCGTGATAATTTATCACAGAAATCCAGAAATCAGAGATACCTTTTCCTCGATACCGCGTTACTGTGATAATTTATCACAGAAATCCGGAATTCAAAGATAATTCCTTCCGCGATACCGCGTTACTGTGATAATTTATCACGGTAACGCGGTATCGCTGAATGATTTATCTCTGGATTCCGGATTTCTGCGATAAATTGTTAGGCTAAGGCCAAAAAAAAAAAATAAGTCGGTCTCTGGTCAGCGCGCACGTTGATTTTAATCATGCGCGTCGATCTTTTTTTTTCCAAAATGTTCCGCGGTAGCTCCAACAGCGCCCTCTATTTCCGCACCTCCTCAATTTTTTTTTCACCAAAGAGCACAAAGGAATGGGAAATTGCACCAAGGCAAATGATCGAAAGCACCAAGGCAAATTATGGAGGACACTAATGTACATGAGGACACCAAAAAAGCAAAATAGTACCCACCTTGTCTGTACAATCCAAGCTTGAAGAAAAAAAAAAAAAAAAGCAAAAAAAAAAAAAGCCGCGTGGCCGCGTCAATTCCGGAACTTTGGTCTGACCAGATACCGAATATTATTTTTTTTTGGCCTAACGCGGTATTGTTGAATGATTTATCTTTGAATTCTTGATTTCTGTGATAAATTATCACAGTAACGCGGTATCGCGGAAGGAATTATCTCTGATTTCTGGATTTCTGTGATAAATTATCGCAGTAACGCGGTATCGTTGAATGATTTATCTTTGATTTCTGGATTTCTGTGATAAATTATCGCAGTAACGCGGTATCGCGGAAGGAATTATCTTTGATTTCCGGATTTCTGCGATAAATTATCGCGGTAACGCGGTATCTCGGAAGGCAATTCAAGCTTCCGTAGAAATCTGTCCCAGAAATACGAGTTTTAAACAGGTTTCTGGATTTTTCACAAATCCCCAGAGCGAGTGCAGTGGTAAACCAAGACATCATCGTGACTTACAAGAGAAAGTAAGTGTGGGCAATGAACAGTTTTTGAGAAAATTTCGGTTAAAAAAACTCGATTGTTCCTAACCACTTGTGCGCTGCACGTGTACCGTGCATTGTGTACATTGTACATGTACACGTACAAATGTGTGTACGTTGATGTACATGTACATGTACATGTACGTATACGTCGCGGGCATACGCACCCATGCGTGCGTGCGAAAGTGCATGTACATGTATGTATGTACATGTACATGTACAATGTCTAAATTACATGCATGTTTTAAACGCATAGGGTGATACTAGTACTAGTAGTAGGCCTAGCTAGTACTACCATGGAACTATAAAAAGGCTGTCGACTGTTTTCCTTGGTTTCATTTCTTGAATTAATTTAAAGACATTCTGTAATGACTTGTACAATTGTGGGTACAACTTAAGTATTAAATAAAGACATAGGGCCGACAGGCCCTACTCATTAAAAACTTTCCAAACTTCTCATTTCAAAGGTATTAGGCCTTTTTAATAATATATCGATACGCTACATGTACAGTACACAAACATGATCTAATATTTACATGAACAGGGCCCGATTTCATGGCGCTGCTTACTGCAGAATCCTGCGCTTACGATCACCATTCTGTGCTAACCGTGCTAGTGGAAAAATTATGCGCTAACCCCGTAAGCACAGAATCCTTAGTTACGGGATGTACGCATGCGCATAAGCCAAAATTCCTCGCTAACCCGTGAAATAGGATTTAACGTAAGCACAGAATTTTTTGCTACTTTTTTTTAGGCGCCCATTTTTCGCTTGCGGTAAGCAGAGCCATGAAATTGGCCCTGCCTTCTTACTCCTCCATGGCATGAGTTGATACTGATAGAGTAACATTAGAACCTTACAATTACATGCATGTGCATTTTATTTTGTTTTCAATGCCACAAATGAGATTTTAACACACACCTTAAACACATTTCAAGGTATACATTTTTGTAGCTGTTGACCCTGATATTTTGTACCTGAAAAATGTATGTTTACACGCATGGAGTAGGCCTAGTACCATACATAGCTTGTTGACTGTCATTAGTTTCATTTCTTGAATTAATTTGAAGACAATCTGTTATGTAAAATTGTGGGTACAAACTTAAGTATTAAATAAATATATATACTCATTAAAAACTTTCTAACCTTCTCATTCCAAAGGCCATTTTAATAATATACATGTACACAAACATGATCTAATATTTACATGAACAGGGCCCAATTTCATGGCGCTGCCAACCACAGAATTCTGCGCTGACCATCACCATTCTGTGCTAACCGTGCTAGCGGAAAAATTATGCGCTAACCCCGTAACAAAAAATCCTTAGTTATGGGATGTGTGCATGTGCATACATGTAAGCCAAAATTCCTTGTTTACCTGTGAAATAGGATTTGCCGTAAACACAGAATTTTTTGCTACCGTAAGCGCCCACTTTTTGCTTGCGGTAAGCAGCGCCATGAAATTGGGCCCTGTCTTCTTACTCCTCCATGAGTTGATAGAGTAACATTAGAACCTTACATGCATGGGAATTTTTTTTTTTCAATGCCACAAATGAGATTTCAACACACGCCTTAAACACATTTCAAGGTCTACATTTTTGTAGCTGTTGACCCTGATTTTCTGTACCTGAAAAAAATCTTGTGTACATATTTTTCCTAAGCCTATAGTTTCCGTTTAATTATTTACAAACCCTTGCCTAGTAATCAAATGATACATATAAAAATCATTCTTCTTTGCAGGTCTTCTTGACACAAGCTGCTCGAATTTCTGGAGTGGTGGTTGTATGGTGACGTCTCATGACGCTGAGAAGTTTCTGCAGTGGATCCTGCATCCCTTGAACTACCCTCCCTGACCGGTTGAACTCTGTATGCACCAATTCACCTCCCTGCTCATTTAAAAGACCAAACCCAACCTTGAACATTCGGAGCTGATCTACGGCATGGTCTTCCAAAAGATGCATTTTGGGACTGATGTTTGCCTTGGGGAAGTGGGCCCTGAAACACCGCATGAAGTTTTTGATGCTGATGTCTGCAGATGTAAGTAAATTTATTGTAAATTAATCAATCCAATTCATTAAACATATTGGAAAACAATGTTTCATAATATGGGAATGTGTACAGTACCGATTTGCTGGATTCCATCATCTGTCAGGGGATTGGAATGGTTGATGCCATGATGAACGTCGGCAAATTGCAGCAACACCTCTTCAAATTTCTTGCTGATTACTGCTGCCTCTCGCTCTAACCTATTCAAAGCAGCTATGGAAATGTCTTCTGATTTGGCATGAGCAATCACTGATCGTGGAACTGACGTCAAGTCAGTTATGACTTTCACCTGTTGGGGGGAAAACCAAACCATTGAGTCAAAAGATTTGAATTAGTAATTAACAAAATATAGTGACATTGTACTACAATGTATATATCTACAGCTGGCAACATGTTCATGTGATTTACCTGGCAACACTTATGCACGTGATTCCCCACGAACGATTTACCATGGTACGCTTGTCTGCAAACATTGTGCTTTTGCAGTACTGTGTCAAGACCACAGGCTACTGGTCCCGTACCAAAGGGAAGGTCGACAGCTGCAGCACGAGATTCCTTAAGAGGAGAAGAAAATAGAGAGATTTTATGTTAATTTTTTTGTTTAAGTATGAGCTATGTTAGTCATCTAAGCATGCAAGCACTGCAACAGTCGTACATGTTATCAGACTCTTTACCAATTCGGTGATATCAGTGTGTAGCTGCCCAGCTTTACATATCATCTCCCTGTATTCGCCATGTATTTGTTGTGCCTGTTGTGCCTGTGGATGACTTTGCAGTTGAAAAAGGGGCAGTTCCTCTTCTAATTCTTCAAGGCTTTCTCTTTTCTGTAGAAGTTGGTGTTGTAGTTCCTGCTGCCTCCTTACTTCTGCAACTACTGCTTGGTCGAAGTTAAATTCATCATCATCATCATCTTCATCTGCTCCCTCTACTCGCAGCTTGAACAACCTGACGTCTAGGCTGTGGCAATCGGACTCCAGGAGGTCATAGATCTTCTTGAAGATGCCGAGCGAAATGTGGAGACTGGGCAGGATTACCTTCAAAACACATGGTACGAGACACGTTATGTATTGTATACGAGTCATGTACATGTACACATAAGCACATATACATGTATATGTACCACACATGCAAAAGATTACTTACGTGGTCAATTTCGATTGGCAGTTTTGGAGTGTCGACAATGATAAAGGAAACGTCTTTGGCCTTCTTTCGTCTGCTTCCATCATCTACAAATTTGTTGTAGTGATGCTGGATTTGGTCGAGTGTTCTCTCGGTGGAAGAACCCCTCTCAGCTATGGGCACCTGCATTGTATCCTTACTGGCTAAGCAGTAAATACAGCAGTATCGTGCTAGGAAAAAATTGACAAAGCCAATCAATTATCTAATGTTGCCCCTCACCTAGATTTTTTCTGCAAACCTCATAGAGTACTGAGTACACAGTGCTTGTAACTTTGCAAAGCTATGCATAACTAGGACAACATTATTATAAACCTAACCAAAAAAAAGACATAAGTACCATTGGGTCCATTTGTGCCATACAACTTGGACAGGAGTTCATAATCACCGAAGCAGAGCAAGCGAATCGTTCGTCCTCTGTTCATCATGTTCAGGGAAGAAAGAAACAGCAGAGAATAAGAGTTTCACAAATAATATGCATATACAAGCTTTTGAGCAATAAACGTGGTAATTTTAATTTGTTTATGTTTAAGATTAAGTAACATATACGTTTTCCTTTTTAAATTTTTGCTCACCTCCATTGTTGTTTAGAAAGCGTGGTGATCTGGCTTATGATTTTGGGAAGTGTTCTCTTCAAATTTTGAGATGTGTCGCTCCCTTCAAAGCACGCGAATACCACCGTGTTTTGGAGGCTGTTTGGATGGTTCACATTAACTATTTGATAAGCCATCTTAAACGAAGAGCCACCTTTGTCACCTCCAATTTTGACCCAAATTTCGTTTGGTGGGATGACACCACTATGCCAGGTCAGGGAATTGCACCTATAAAAAAACATGTATATATTTGTAAATGCCACATTTTGTCCATTTAAATTGAAATTTATAACATATTTTTTGATTTACAGGTGAAGTACTTACTCCTCAAGTCCGTCCAGATAATCCAGCACCATCATGCTGCAGTTGTTCACAGTGACATATGGCACCATTCTACCCTCAAACCCATGAGACCCATCAGACTTGGCACTTGGGAACATGAGCTCTACGAGTTCTCCCTCAAGGTAGTCTTTCAGAAGACGTTTCTGCTGTGTCCTCATTGATCGTTCTGATGCGATGGCGGGACCTACATATCTGTTTTGGTTATAAATTATCATGAATATTGAATTCATCTCATAAAATGTTTTAATCGAAAGCGTTAATAATTTTCAAAAATGTATTTAACTAAAATACCTGCGCAGTTTTCTCAATTGCTCCCATGCAAGATTGCAGTCCCGCATCATCGCCAGAGACCGGTTCACTGGTGGCACAGTTGGTTTACATGACGGGGGACTCGGTGTACTTTCAGGTTTTTTTGGTGCTGAGCATTGTTCCTTTGTACTTTGCGGGGCAGGGGATGAGACTTGATGAACATGTGCTGGCTAAAATTCAACATAGAAAATACACCATAATTGTAAAAAAAGTACAATGAGCTATATTGATTGTATTGTATATATTGTATATACATGTATGTAAATAAGTAAATATTAAGTTAAACAAGTATCTTGGCCCAATTTCATGGCACTGCTTACTGCATGCTCATCAGCAACATTTCCTTTTTAACCCATAAAATACGCTTAAACTTGGAATTTTCTGCTGCCGTAAGCACCGATTTGTAGCCAACAGTTAACAGTGCCAAGAAATTGGGCCCATGTCACTGTAAATATTAGAGAGGGGATCTACGGCAAAATCAATGAACTTGTAACAATCAGATCGTTTTTTATTGTGTAGAGTTAAGGCACATGATATGTATTTTATCATTTTAATGTTACAATACAAAGGTTAAACTTGATTTGTCAGGAACAGTGCAATTTAGGTTTTAATTGTAAGATGGTCATTTAGAATAGTTTCAGTTCTAATATTATTTATTTAATGGATTGAGCTAGAGGGATATTGATACCATTATTTTTCACTTGTTTATTATGATCTTACTAATCTTACCCGTCCGCCTGTGTTTAGAGTAGCTGCTCTGTTTGACTGTTGTAATTTCAACCATGTCCATCTGTCTGTCGCTCTTTCTATTTCATAAGGGATTGGCTGTCCCTTTGGGTGTTTGAGGGCCTCTTCTCGTAGGATCCTAGCAGCATTTGATATGGATGACTCTTGTTGATTTGTACTATTATCTACAATAGGCCTATTCGTACTTGAAAAACAAGTGCCTCTTCCCTTTGTTGATGGAGTAGAACAAAGTACACAATCATGTGCTGTGAGTTGACGGAGTTTTCCTATTTTACTACACTTGGAACAAATCAAATTCAAATTGTTCAGCTGCACTGTAAGAATACGCGAGCTAAGAGATACTTCTCTGAAATTGAAACTTGCTTTACACACTGGACATGGTACCAGAGACAAGTTCTTGAACTGAAAGTACTTTGTTAAACAGCTGACACAAAAGTTATGCTCACATGGAGACTGTACACATGGTGAAGCCAATAAACAGAGACAGATTGGACAGGTAAATAAGGAGTGTTCATCCTCTCTTCCAAGTATCTCCAGGTGGGGATCTGACTCAATTGTAGTATTAACAATGTTGGTGAAAATATTGCTGGTCTCGGGGGTTATGGCAAAAGGCAAAACTTCATAAGAAGAGGATGATTTTCCAATGACTCGTTGACACTTTTTTGGACGACCTGGCCTTGAAGACAGTAGAAATCTCTCACAAATTGTACAGTTTCCAGATCTCTGGTGCTTTATCCAGTCAATATGTTCATATGCAACACTGTCACTTTTGTAATCCTGTGTTTGTGCCTTGTAGTGCCTTATCTTTCTTGCACACTTTTCACAAAGTGCTTTAGGATGTTGATCACAGTTATCGCTCCAAGTGTTAATGTCAAATACAGCCAGTATTTCCTTACGATTGTCTGCAGACAAGGTTGGCAATCTATAGCCTTTGTTTATGTCTGTTCTTGCACCACAAACTCTACATAATTTTGTAAGTACGTTTTTGTGATAGTCAAAAGTTAAAGCTCGGAACATTGTACTGTAGCTAAGTTATATAATAAATAAAATACCTGATCAACCAAGTACAACTGTGCGTCGATCATCATTTTGCTTCTGTATCTTGTGTTGATAAAATATTTGGGGGTTTGGACAACTCGACCGTTTGCCAACTAGACTCGGGACAACTCGACCGTTGAGACATCATCGATGTCCGTGTGCTTTGTGCCGCGCGCGACGTCGCGCCACCGAGCCTTGCCGCGCCGTCGCGGGCAGCTCCGGCCCCACGACCCCGGCCCCACGCACGGTCATCATAAAGATGACATACCCTCAACGCAGCACACGCAAATACTACGCACTCCGATCCGTTACCCACATTCAAGTACAAGTACATGTACGTGTACAACATCTCGCATATATTCGAGTTGATTCCATGTCAAAGTCGACTTGTCTCGGCGGTCCGTTGTCTCAACGATCGAGTTCTCAACGGTCGAGTTGTCCCGAGTCGAGTTGATAAACGGTCGAGTTGTCTGACATCCTGCACGAATATACTGGCTATCTGACAACTCGTATTTCGCGGGCTTTGCGTACGCTCTCAAAAGCAGACGACCCATATTTAGTTCCCCCAAAACTCGATTATATTGGGAATTTGAGCCATTGCCCACACACAAAAGTAAGTTAAAAGTACGAAACATTTAGTTTTTCTCAAAATAATTGACTTCTTGTAGAGATAAAAATTAAAAAAAAAACAATAAACAGGAATTTTACTTCGAGATGGAAACATGACGGACATTATAGTTCCGTCATAATTTTTCATCAAAAAATCATGACACAGACCCTTATTTTATTTACATTTTTTTATTTGATAATCGCAACTTATAGAAATTGTATTTGTACATTGATATTTGATGGAGGATATAATAGTTTAGGACACTGAGGGTTGATATCTTGTCATTATTTGATTTTATGAGCGACGGAATTCATGGCGGCGCGCCGCCATGTTTTTCTTGACTGGCTGCGTGACGTCACGCGTCATTATTGGGGTAGCGAAACAAAAACAAACAAACAGTAGAGAGTTTATTTACGCACGGTCTATGGGGTTGAAACGGCCGTGCGACACATGAGAGCCATGTCGGCTGGAGCTGACAGCCCTTGCTATGGGACTTACTGCACAAAAACGAAACAGGGGGCATCATGTACCTATGTCTGGGGCTCACTCCAAAAGTTTCAAGTCTGAAGCCTTGCCGATTTGTCAGCTTGTTGGCCTATTCATCCGCCATCCAACAAGTAATAGTTTGTCAAAATCCATCCATGTTAAGGTACCTTTAGACCGCGACACATGAGAGCCATGTCGGCTGGCGATGACAGCCCTTGCTATGGGACTTACTGCACAAAAACGAAACTGGGGGCATCATGTACCTATGTCTTGGGCTCACTCCAAAAGTTTCAAGTCTGAAGCCTTGCCGATTTGTCAGCTTGTTGCCCATTCATCCGCCATCCAACCAGTTATGGTTTGTCAAAATCCATCCATGTTAAGGTACCTTTAGACCGCGACACATGAGAGCCATGTCGGCTGGCGCTGACAGCCCTTGCTATGGGACTTACTGCACAAACACGAAATTGGGGGCATCATGTACCTATGTCTGGGACTCACTCCAAAATTTCAAGTCTGAAGCTTTACCGATTTGTCAGCTTGTTGGCCTATTCATCCGCCATCCAACAAGTTATAGTTTGTTAAAATCCAACCATGTTTAGGTACCTTTAGAGCGCGACACATGAGAGCCATGTCGGCTGGCGCTGACAGCCCTTGCTATGGGACTTACTGCACAAAAACGAAACTATGGGCATCATGTACCTATGTCTGGGGCTCACTCCAAAAGTTTCAAGTGTGAAGCCTTGCCGAATTGTCAGCTTGTTGGCCTATTCATCCGCCATCCAACAAGTTATAGTTTGTCAAAATCCATCTATGTTAAGGCACCTTTAGACTGAGACACATGAGAGCCATGTCGACTGGCGCTGACAGCCCTTGCTATGGGACTTACTGCACAAAACGAAACTGGGGGCATCATGTACCTATGTCTGGTGCTCACTACAAAAGTTTTAAGTCTAAAGCCTTGCCGATTTATCAGCTTGTTGGCCCATTCATCCGCAATCCAACAAGTTATAGTTTGTCAAAATCCATCCATGTTAAGGTACCTTTAGACCGCGACACATGAGAGCCATGTCGGCTGGAGCTGACAGCCCTTGCTATCGGACTTACTGCACAAAAAGGAAACAGGGGCATCATGTACCTATGTCTGGGGCTCACTCCAAAAGTTTCAAGTCTGAAGCCTTGCCGATTTGTCAGCTTGTTGGCCTATTCATCCGCCATCCAACAAGTAATAGTTTGTCAAAATCCATCTATGTTAAGGTACCTTTAGACCGCGACACATGAGAGCCATGTCGGCTGGCGCTGACAGCCCTTGCTATGGGACTTACTGCACAAAAACGAAACTGGGGGCATCATGTACCTATGTCTTGGGCTCACTCCAAAAGTTTCAAGTCTGAAGCCTTGCCGATTTGTCAGCTTGTTGGCCTATTCATTCGCCATCCAACAAGTTATAGTTTGTCAAAATCCATCCATGTTAAGGTACCTTTAGACCGCGACACATGAGAGCCATGTCGGCTGGCGCTGACAGCCCTTGCTATGGGACTTACTGCACAAAAACAAAACTGGGGGCATCATGTACCTATGTCTGGGGCTCACTCCAAAAGTTTCAAGTCTGAAGCCTTGCCGATTTGTCAGCTTGTTGGCCTATTCATCCGCCATCCAACAAGTTATAGTTTGTCAAAATCCATCCATGTTAAGGTACCTTTAGACCGCGACACATGAGAGCCATGTCGGCTGGCGCTGACAGCCCTTGCTATGGGACTTACTGCACAAAAACGAAACTGGGGGCATCATGTACCTATGTCTGGGACTCACTCCAAAGTTTCA